CTGGAGGGCTTCCGAGCGCCCCCGGGAGGGTCTGAAAAGGTCCACGCAAAGGCTCCAGAAAGGGCCCCAGAAAAATGTCCAAGAGCGCCCCAAGAGGCCTTCGGACAGCCTACGAGAGCCAGACGGCAGAGGGAGCCAAGACGGCCCGTGGAGCCTCCGAAGAACCTTAAGACACACACACACACACACAAACAAACAAACAAACAAACAAACAAACAAACAAACAAACAAACAAACAAACAAACAAACAAACAAGCAAACACGCAGCCCAGGCAGGCCCCAGAAGCTCCCAAGAGGACCCTCGAAGGCTTCGCGAGACCCCCGAGGTGCCCCAGCAGCCCCCTGGGCCGCCCCGAAAGTTCCCAAGGATCCCCACATCTTCCATTGTTGCCTGTGTTCCTCGTCCCCCGCTTCTTTTTGCAAGGTGGATTGATTGTAGTTTTCCCCACGCGATCCCCGGAAAGAACGCATCGAATGGCGCAAGTTCGGTTCAGCGTGGTCTTCCCCATTCACCGCCCCCCAAACTTGCACTGAGTATATCAGAGAAGCCTCCAACATAAGGGTCGTGAAGTGCCTCGAGAGGGGTGTTAGCTCGACCTCCTTGGCGGGAGATGCGGGTGAGGGACTAGTGAGACCCCGTTGCTTGAGATCATTCCCCCATGAAACGGGAGCAGTCTGGATGGATGCACGATGCACGTGTAAGCAAAAACATGTTGATGCAATAACGTATGTTGTTGTCCGGGGCTGGTCTCGGCGCATCCCCGAAAAGTTCGAGCGCCAGCCTCGCGTTCAAGGGAAATGCAGCCAGCGCCTTGGCGAGATCCCCTGGGCTGAGAGGGTCCAACGGTAGAAATGATTGGTAGCAATTGTAGACGGTTCGCTGTCATTTTTATCGTGCGTCGTTCAACACGCATACCCCAAACCGCAAATTCCCGCCATTCTGTTGTTTATGAACGTACCCCCATTGGGGGCGCCCCTTTTTTCAGAACAGATCTGGAGTAAACCCCGACACAGCAAGACTGATGGGTTGGGAGGGCGGGAAGTTAAAGCGGGCGGGCGGGTTTCCAAGCAAACAACGGGGCGGACATTGACGGACGCGTCGGGGAGGGGTCGTTCGGGCGGACCCTCTTGAGCGGGTCGGTTGGGCGGAATTTCACGGGCGGGACCAGCGGGCGGACAGCTCTACGAAATCATTCTTCACCACGAAGAGCGCGACAACAATGACGACAAAAACAGCAAAAACACAACAAGCATGTTGAAACCGTTCGTTCATCATTGCCCGCGTGCCGTTCAACATGTATGCCCAAGACCTTCGAGTCCCGCCCCCGTTGTGAGCGTACCCCCCTGCTTTTTGACCCTTCACGCCAGCTTTAAGTCGGGCCTGTCCCTCAATAGGGGGACTTTTCAAAAATAGTCAAAAAATAGTCTGGGGACTATTTTTTGAGTATGTTTGGGCATCTTTTGAATATTTGTTGGATCTTTTTCATTCTTCGCCCAAAATCACCCTGTAGAGGGACAGGCCCGACCTAACCCTAATGGACTACCGGGCGAGCAGGGCGGGCGCACCTCAGCGGGCGGGTCGGGCAGGCGGTACGTTGAAAGCAGGCGGCGGGCTGCCAGGCAATCGACCCAGCCGAGCCGGCTGCCCCACGGAGCTCCCTTCTAGTTCTGTCCTTGCTTCCGCTTTCGGCCCTCGCCCCCCACCCGTGGAGAGTGAGGGGGAGGAGGAGGAGGAGGAGGAGGAGGAGGAGGAGGAGGAGGAGGAGGACGAGGTGGACTCTCCGTCGTGTGGCGGCCGGGCTTACTTTGGAGACCGCCGCCACGGGAGAGGGTGCGAGGATGGAGAAGATCGGGTCGGGGGCCACCTCTGGTTGACATGCTCTGACTGATCTGCCTTTTCGGTCTGAGTTCACGTGGCGAGTTGGTGACACTGCCAGGGTCAGGAGAGAGAGCCAGCGCTGAAGCCATCTTGCGACCTCTTCGCTTGGTGGCTGCGTTGCGCGCCATGGCTCCTGGGGTGCTGACTCCTCCAGGTTCTGGCTTTTTTCAGGCTCTGACGGCGAGGGATGAGTCACACGCCCACCGTCCAGTTTTGTTTCGCGTGCATCAGGTCCCTCGTGCAGACCTCCTCCAGGCAGGGTGACCCCATCTGTGCACTTGGGGGTCATCCTCGTTCGGAGGCGTCGTGGTGCGTCACACCCCGCAGGGTGGATTCGCCATCCCCCTGTCATATCACGGCAGCACCCGCGTCGATGTTAGAAAATCTTCCTCATATTCTTCCTCCTCCTCCTCCTCCTCCTCCTCCTCCTCCTCCTCCTCCTCCTCCTCCTCCTCCTCTTCCTTCTCATCCTCCTCCTCCTCGTCCTCTTTCTCCGAGGATTTCGCTGGACCATTTCTCCAACACCGTGCAGACGCTGCGGTGGGATTCCAAAGACTTCTCCCAGGGGTCTCCAGCCAGCCCGTACTTGGAGCAGCTGCGGAACCAGATCGACGAGCTGGGGTGCCCCCCCCCTTGCGTTTATATCATCGAGCCCTATCTCGTGTCAGTCTTCGAAAGATCCGTATGTACAGCAGTCTTCGCTGTTCCTGTTCTAAGCCCGAGTGGGTGTCCTATCACAGGGGATCCGCGGTTGTGGTTCTGGCGTGCGCGCGCGGGCGGGCACGTCGTTGCGCGGTGTGCGTCGGCGTGGTCCCTCGAGGAGCCCATGCGGTGTGCAGGCCATGCTCGCGCCCGCTGCTCGCGCAGCTGACTCGGGAGAGCTTCGGCGAGGGCAGTTTGTGAAAATGGTTCACGCCCTTCGCTGCCTCGATACGCCTGTTCTGAAACGCAACACGTACCGTGCTTAGAGCGTCCGTGACAGTACGTTGCGTGTTGGCTCAGCGCATTGCCCCAAGTTTTGGCGAACGCATCGCGCCATACTTAGCTTTCGGTCTACGTGTTGAGCTCCATATCAATACGCTACGTGCTGCGTGTTGTGTATCAGGGCAACTAAGGTCTGTCCCGTAGCCGCCATCCCGGTCACAAGACCACGTCGACATGCATCGATGTACGGCAGATTTGCGTCGTGTCGACCGGCGGCGATCCTGCCGCCGGCGTTCAACGTTGAGCGCCGCCAGCGACCCAGAATCGGTCGATGTTGATCGATCCGACGTTTCGGAAAGGGATGATCGTTCAAGGTTGAACGATCCTTGCGGTGTCAGAGACCAACGCTGGGGTCGACACGACACGAACCTGCCGTAGCCGCCATCTTGGTCGCACGACCACGTCTCGGCAGCGAGCGAGGGGGAAAAGTGAAAAGGAAGAGGCCTTCTCAGAGGGCTCGGAAGGCCGGAGGATTTCTGAGAAGCCCCGCCGCCTTCTGAGAAGGTTTTCTCCGTCTCATTTCCCCCCCTCGCTCGCCGCCGAGCCATCTTGGTCGCACGACCACGTCGATATGTATCGATGTACGTTTCCGTTATTGTAGCCTCGCTCCGTCTGCGAAGCTTCGCGCTTGCCTTGCATTCTGCTCGGCCCACCCTGAGTGCGAGAGCCACGGCTTGCCCCCCCCCCCTTCTTGGCGACGGGCCCACAGGCGTGGCGTCGGGGCACGTCGGAGGCCGTCGAGGGGGAGAAGGAGGAGGAGGAGGAGGAGGAGGAAGAGGAGGAGGAGGAGGAGGAGGAGGAGGAGGGGGAGGAGGAGGAGGAGGAGGAGGAGGAGGACGAGGACGGAGGACGAGGACGAGGACGAGGACGAGGACGAGGAGGAGGAGGAAGAGGAGGAGGAAGAGGAGGAGAAGGAGGAGGACGAGGAGGTGGAGGAGGAGGTGAAGGAGCAGGAGCAGGAGGGGGAGGAGAAAGAAGAGGAGGAGGAGGCGCAGGAGGAGGGGGAGGAGGAGGAGGAGGAGGAGGAGGAGGAGGAGGAGGAGGAGGGGGAGGACCAATGTAAACCCAAGGGTCTTCAACGATGTCGGAGTAAACCCGCCCTCCAAGCTCCCTCTTAATAGGCCCCTACAACGGTTCATTTCCATTGATGGAACTGCTTCGTTGGGAGACGCCCATTTGAAGACCCCGAATCATGACAAGACATTGTTCTCGGGAATCCTACGCAGCGGATCAACCTTACTGTTGCGTCTTGACGATCCTGAATCGCGCAAGAACGCCATTCCTAGGACTTCAGCACAGAGAACCAAAGCAACTGCTGCACCCGCATAATCCTGAATCCTTCCAGAGCACCATTTCTGGTAGGTTGATGATGGGAACCCGTGACACTCTTGAACACGTTGTAAACGAATGTGCGCGGCGCTAGAGCGAGAGCCACATTTGGGAAAGGAACCGCCCTCAGTCCGTGAAACGCTTGCAAAAATTCAAGACGAATATGCGCCGCGCTGAAGCGAGGTCCACATTTTGAAAACGACTCGCCCTCAATCCGCGAAACTCTTGGAATTGTTTAACGAACGTGCGCCGGGCTAAGGCGAGAGCCACATTTTGAAAACCACCCGCCCTCAATCCGTGAATTCGCTGCAAAGTTTTAAAACGAGTGCGCGCCGCTCTAAGGCGAGAGCCACATTTTGAAAACCACCCGCCCTCCATCTGCGAAGCTGTTGCCAATTGTTAAGCTTCAAAGCCATAAGTGGTGAGGAAGTCTCAGGCGAAACGCCCGCCCCGCCCTAAAAACTGGCCTCGGGGTGCGACAAGGAGAAGTTATTTAGAAGGAGAAGGATTGGAGGAGGAGGAAGAGGAGGAGGAGGAGGAGGAAGACGAGGAGGAGGAGGACGACGAAGAGGAGGAGGAGGAGGAGCGATTGGGGGCCCCTGTTGTACAATCTCGGCAGTTCGCGCAGAGCGGCGCACCACGTCGCCCCATCCGAGCGTGGGGCCAGTGCGATCAGGAGCGATCGGGGGGAGAGGGGAGGATGAGGAGGAGGAGGAGGAGGAAGAGGAGGAGGAGGAGGAGGAGGAGGAGGAGGAAGGGGAGGAGGAGGAGGAGGAGGAGGACGAGGAGGAGGAGGAGGAGGACCAGAGTAAACCAGGATGCATGAACGAAGCTGCAATACACCCTCCCGCGTACAGTCCCTGCTTCTGAAGTTCCCACAAGTTGTCTTGACGATTGCGGGCAGGACCCTTGAATGACAAGCGCCTTGCAAGCTTGCCAGTCAGGCGAGACCTTGTTGTGCAAAGAATTCGCCTTCCAATGTTTTGGCTAGACGGAGCACGATGAATGTAGCATTCAAGGGAATTCCAGCGATAGCCCTGCTTTGAAAAGAGTAAGGCCTCCATCCGCGCAAGTAGAAGTTCAAAATTCTGGCCATGTTTCGACCGAAGCCTCAAGCGAGAGCCAAATGTTGCAAAGGAGCCGCCCTCCATCCGTGCACGCGTTGCAGAATTGGGATTTCGGATCACGGAGTTGTTGAGGAAATCCCCAGCGAGGGCGATCCATCCTTGCAATTGATCGGAAACGGTGCCATGCAAATAATTACAATTATCCCAGTGCGACCCTACCTAGGAGTTGGAGCCTCTAGGAAAGCAACATTAGTAGGAGCGGTAAACGCCGTCCTCCTCCCTCTCCTCATTGTCGTAGTTGTAGCAGTAGCAGTAGCGGTGGTAGTAGTAGTAGTAGTAGTAGTAGTAGTAGTAGTAGTAGTAGTAGTAGTAGTAGTAGTAGTAGTAGTAGTAGTAGTAGGAGTAGTAGTAGTAGTAGCAGTAGTAGTAGTAGTAGTAGTAGTAGTAGCAGTAGTAGTAGTAGTAGTAGTAGTAGTCGTAGTAGTCGTAGTAGTCGTAGTAGTAGTAGTAGTCGTAGTAGTAGTAGTAGTAGTAGTAGTAGTAGTAGTAGTAGTAGTAGTAGTAGTAGTAGTAGTAGTAGTAGTAGTAGTAGTAGTAGTAGTAGTAGTAGTAGTAGTAGTAGTAGTAGTAGTAGTAGTAGTAGTAGTAGTAGTAGCAGTAGTAGTAGTAGTAGTAGTAGTAGTAGGAGTAGCAGTAGCAGTAGCAGTAGCAGTAGCAGTAGCAGTAGCAGTAGCAGTAGCAGTAGCAGTAGTAGTAGTAGCAGTAGTAGTAGTAGTAGTAGTAGCAGTAGTAGTAGTAGTAGTCGTAGCAGTAGTAGTAGCGCCAGAACCGCCGACGCCACGCCGTAAGTGAAGCAGCAGCAGAAGCAGGCAGCAAGTCGCCGAGACAGCAGCAAAAGTTATGCTATGCTATGCGATGCAGCGCTATGCTATGTTATGGTATGTGGATGCTGTGCTATCCTATGTTGTGGATGCTGTGCGATGCTATGCTATGCTATGCTATGATATGTGGATGATGTGATGCGCTCTGCTATGATATGCTCTGCTATGCTATGCTATGCTGTGCTGCGCAATGCTACGCTAGGCTAGGCTAGGCTATGCTATGAGATGATATGATATGATATGATATGCTGCGCTATGCTATGCTGCGCTAAACTATGCCATGCCGTGCTATGTTACTGCTGTGCCTTCGCTTTTGCCTTCACGTTTGCCTTTGCTTTTGCTTTTGCTTGGCACCCAGGGAGCGCAACTGGGGGAACCGCGCGTTTGCTTTTACCTTTGCTGTTGCTTTTGCTTGGCTCCCAGGGGACTGGGGGAACCGCCCGGGGCGGGTTGCACTGCCCGGCCCCTTTAAGCTACAGAGTAAGAACCCTTCTAGGCAGAGCCTAGGTAGGGAACAAAGAGACGAATGCGCGCTGCGTGCTATGGCGAGAGCCGCATTTGGGAAACCACCGGCAATGCATACATGTGATATTGGAAACGTTTGAGGCGAATGCGCGCGGCACTAAGGTGAGAGGTGCATTTTGAAAACGAGTTGCCCACCGCCCGCATACTTGCTGGAGCTGTTTAGCTTTAGGAAAACAAGCTGTAAGGATGTCTCTGGCGAAACACCCGGCCCAGCCCACGGACACAATTGGTGGTGCGACAGGGGGGGCATTCAGAAGGAAGAAAAAAGGGATTGGAGAGAAAAAATGAGGTGGACGATGACGAGGACGAGGAGAAGCAGACCTTTTAGTGGTCGTTTGGGGCCCGCACCTTGGGCTTTCCTACGGACGTGTTGGCCCGTCTTGGAGCCATCTAACGCCGTGCGGGGGCCCCTTCTGGACGCCCCAAGAGCTCTTCGAGCAGCTGCCAGGAGCTGAGGCGGGGAGGCCTGCTGGGGATCCGCGATCCCCCCTCTCCTTCCAATTAACCGACGGAGGTCTTTGTTTGGGGAATCCCCCCCCCTTGCTGCTCTTGGCGGGAAATACACTCCGCCACGCCTCCTTTCCGTAGTCTCGTAGTTGTTGTCGTCGTCGTTGCGCGGCGGGTGCCGCGGAAACATAATGTGTTTCCATTATTGTTGGGGCCCCAGTCCGTCAATAAGGATGTCGAGAGGAGAATTGTTGACGCTTCGCGAATGCCCACCAGCCCATCCAGAAACGATGCCCAGAGGAATTGCCTCGATCAGGGAAGTGGGCAGCACACCGAGGAAGCCAGTATGAGACACCTTGGGATATCTTGAGCCATCTTGGAGGTCAGC